AAGTTTCATTGAAATCGGTGAGATGGCTTGTGCCACCCCCGCCTGGTCCTATCGTGGATGCACTCTTAAGCAGTCAGTCCCAGCTTGTTCCAGCTTTTGTTTCCCTCCCCGCGGGTTGGCCTACTGTTGTGGTGGTCCTTGATGTTATTTAGCTGCCTCTCTAAAGTGTTACTCGTCTCATGGGCAGACTCCAGCTCCAATACACTGATGTGCTATCTTATCATAAACACAATTAATATCCTTGTTCTGCTCTGCAGCCTAGGTGAGATTAGTGTAGCAGAACATGAACCAGTTCTCAACCCTGCTGCAGGTTCTCATTGTCATGGTCCTCCAGCTCAAAGTGGATCTCCTGGAGAGCAGAACAAGGACCGTTGTCAGTTAAAGATTGTGGAGTTGGAGGACCTCCGGACAAGCGACTCTCGAGAGGCAGCTGAATGATGTTTAGGAACGCCACAACATCAACCTGGAAAGCCTGCAGGTAAGGAAATATGAGACAGAACCAAGCTACGGGACGGATCAGAGCTACCTAGGTAGCAGTGTAAAGTGAAATATTCAGTTGCAGCATCTTTTAATGACAAGATCTCGACAATTCTTTTAAAAATCAGATAATGTTAAATAAAGATCATCCACAATGTAGTATTGTCAGACCACCTCATCCCATGCGAAATGTTAAAAAAAAAAATTAAAATTCAGCAAAAATGACTAAACTTGGTGATGTCCAATTTGCACTGAAACGGTTTTACAGATGATTGTATAAATACAAAAAACAGACAATCTGAAAATCTAAAATCTAAATCTAAAAATAAAATAAATAAATAAATAAAAAAAACAGAACTATGTGGGCCATGTAGAAATCACAAATGTCACCTATCACTGGTCACAAAAACACGTGCAACATGGATTTTGATGTTGACAAGGCACCACGACTGTACACCACTTAGTACTTGCACATGATGTGCTCCACACGTATTAAGAAGTGTCTCATAACTTTTTGATCACCGTTTATTTTCAAGTTCAAAGAGAAATGAATTGAAAACTGAAGTCAAACCATAAAAAAAGACCAAGAGTTACCAGATCTTAAGTTAGAGTTTGGCCTTTTAATGACTGCAGTGATACTTTTATAAAAGGTGAAGTGTTGTAGCCTACCGTCTCCCAGTGCCAGCACAGCTTCCTCAGTACCCAGGTTACGCAGGGCAAACATGGCGCGGTAGCGGTCAAAGAGTGGCAGACTTTGATCCAACAGAATGGAGCGCAGCTCTGACACGTTCTTCCTTGCTGCTGGAGGGGCTGGGTCTACAGAGCAGTACGGGTTCTTATCTGTACTTGCATCCTCCAACTGTTTCTCTTCTCCACTCTGTAACCATTCAAGCCGACGAACAGCCAACTGACAAGTTTCTGCAACCTGCAGAGATTGAATATCGGGTTTTATGCCTGATGCACATGTTTTGTTTAAAATTCTCTAATGTCTCTTTGCTGACGTCAGGGCCCCAAGACTGAAGCACAGTCACAACACAACCAAACATGGGAAAAACACTGGCCTCATCTTATGGTATACTTAGTTTCTTGCAGTGTAAGCATTCTAGTTCCTTAATGATTGTCAAAATCAAATTTTTCTGTTACATTAAATATAAATTTTCAACATAGCTGGTATTTAATTAAGGTCATTAAAGTTTAGTATGCTAATTGGTGAGCCAAGCGCATGTAGTCTGCTGTGGGGCTCCCACCTGGATGTTGAGGGTTCTTCTGTAAATATGTATTTATGATACTATGACATACAGAGTTAAGTGGTTGTGGTGTTATGCTTACACTTCTTGTTCTATCACTATTTTATCATCTATTTTGTATTGAGGACCGTAAATTCATTGCATTGAATTTACCTTTACTTACAACTAATCACTACTTTCAGAATAGAAAATACTTCAGGAATACAACTCAACATACCTTAAAATAAATATGATCCTCTTAAATTACTTCAGCAAAACTACAAGCCCAAATTATAGTGTTCCTTTGCACATTTTGTAAATGGGGTGAAAATGAGAATCTGGTGCACTTTTGGGTATCTACGCCTTGGTAGTTATAGGCTGCTATGTTTTGTGTCATGCTCCTACCTCTATTACAGGATCCTGACTGTACTCTTTCAAAAGGTCCAGAACCACAGAATCACCAATTGCTCCCAGGGCCTCTCCTGCAGACACACAGCGTGTTAGTTAAGATACAGGTACAACACTGTTGCTATAGTCCTCAGCTGTATTTCTATCCTGGGAAGATTAAATATTGTAACTAGTGCAGTGCTCATTCAAAACAAGCCGATTTTTTGGCCTCCAGCACTACTGCAGATTTCACAATGTAATGTCTAATTTGTCAAGTTTTTCTTTTTACTCCAACAACATAACACATCATTTAAACAAAAGAATGATGCTAACATCCAGAAGACCTTTAATACATTTATGAAGGATTTACAATGCATAATTGGTTTATTGAGACAAAGACGCATGTGTTTCAATGATTCCATCATAGAAAATTCTTAGTTCTAGGTATGTGTGTGATTATTGAATTAATATTTTTATGAAATTTAAAATTAATGGGATTCTATGGGAGAACATACTCAACTACAAAAAACGTACTGCTTTGACATATGGACACCTACAGACCGCATTTAAGGCTCAAAATACTCCCAAGGCTTATCCTGAAAATGCATAATTTTTCATTTGCTAAAAATCTTCAGTTTGGAGAGATGTACCGTCAATGTGAAAGCTTTTGTACCTTTTTGGAGATTTTATCAGTGTGTCATGTGACCAGCTAGAGTGTGGAGCAGTGTTTTTTGAAGATCAGAAAAAGATTCTAATCTGCTCTAAAGTGTACAAATTTGTCTCTGTAGGCATATAATTGGCACAATAATATAGCCACAAGGGTGTTCTTTGTCAGAATGTTAAAATCTAACTCCATTGAGCTTTGGTATTTTTGATGTAAGCCTTAATTGATAGGAAACTCACTGTTAAGCTCTCATTCAATGCAAGAGAAAGTGCAGGTAGATTTCTTTTTTAACCCTTCCTTTATGCTTGGCGTGTGGAAACAGGCTGTATATCATCATGCCCAGCAGCTCAAGCTTCAACTGTAAATGTGAAGTTCGTAGTAACTGCCACTTTCAGTCAGGAAACTGTATAAAGTTGTCGTAATTGTCATTAGTCTTTCATGCCTACGGACAATTGAGAATCACCAATTAATTTTTCAGTCTCATTGATTTATTTACACATTTGTATATTTATTAAGATCCACATTAGCTTTGTCATGGAGAGCAGCTTGTTTTCCTAGGGTCCACAAGAAAGATCACACATCAACATGGCACCAACAAATTAAAAAAGCAAAAAGGTGCAATCCCCTCTCTGTTGGATTTCTTAGTTTTGTTTTAGAAACATGAGTGAAACCATTTTTGATCCGTGAAATATTTTTGCAATAATGACATCTCTGATAAATACCGGAGGCAAGGCTTACTGAATTGGAAGCACAGTTTTACACCTCTGAAAGACAACCCAGTAGCTGTGGTGCCCAGTCAGGTAAAGTAGCCAGTTAGCCATCCCTCTGGTAACTGGCCCATACCAATTATCTCAAAATGGCATTTACTCATCCTAAATAATTGTCCGACTGATGAATCAGCCTACTGGTACTTTGCATTCGTAAGGTGTTCTTAATGATGTGCCACTTCTGTGTGTGTGTGTGTGTGTGTGTGTGTGTGTGTTTGGTCGTGAGCTGACCCTTTTCATCCCCATATTGCCTCATTACATGTTTACCTGCTTCATGCCTGACCATGGGTTCCTGCTGCGTGTCTCTCAGAACAGCTGTCAAAGTTGGAATTGCCCGTCTGTCCTGCATTTGTCCCAGGCAGAAGGCCAACTCATGCTTCAGCAGGGCTGATTCATCACTGAAGGCCTTGCTGATCCATTCAATAGCTTCCGCCCCTGACACACACACACAAACACACATTACAGCTTAAGTCAGTTAACAGTGCAAGGTATGACACAGACTTTTTTAAGTGTTCATCGACAAGACAGATTTTTTTTTTGGAACATCTGAGAACATGCTATAGTGTTGTGAACAAAGGTTTACATAAACTTGTAAAGACCATGCATATTATGGCAGTCTAATCACGCCAACAACTCTTTATTTTCTATGAGGGAATGACTGAGATACATGCATCTTTGTGACAAAAAACAAACAAACAAACAAAAAAACAATCATGCAATATGGGTCTTTCATAGATTTAATATAGTTCTTCTGGAAATATGACAAAATCTGCTGTGTCAAATATATACACTCACCAGCCACTTTCCTAGGTACACCTGTCCAACTGCTCGTTAATGCAAATTCCTAATCAGCCAATCACATGGCAGCAATTTAATGCATTTAGGCATGTAGACATGGTCAAGACGATCTGCTGCTGTTCAAACTGAGCATCAGATTGGGGAAGAAAGGTGATTTTAAGTGACTTTGAATGTGGCACAGTTGTTGGTGCCAGACGGGCTGGTCTGAGTATTTCAGAAACTGCTGATCTACTGGGATTTTCATGCACAACCATCTCCAGGGTTTACAGAGAATGGTTCGAAAAAGAGAAAATATCCAGTGAGCGGCAGTTCGGTGGGCGCAAATGCCTTGTTGATGCCAAAAGTCAGAGGAGAATGGCCAGACGGATTCGAGCTGATAGAAAGGCAACAGTAACTCAAATAACCACTTGCTACAACCGAGGTATGCAGAATAGCATCTCTGAACGCACAACACATCGAAACTTCAGGCGGATGGGCTACAGCAGCAGAAGACCACACCGGGTGCCACTCCTGTCAGCTAAGAACAGGAAACTGAAGCTATAATTCGCACAGGCTCAGCAAAATTGGACAATAGAAGATTGGAAAAACGCTGCCTGGTCTGATGAGTCTCGATTTCTGCTGCGACATTCGGATGGTAGGGTCAGAATTTGGCGTCAACAACATGAAAGCATGGATCCATCCTGCCTTGTATCAACGGTTCAGGTTGGTGGTGGTGGTGTAGTGGTGTAATGGTGTGGGGGATATTTTCTTGGCACACTTTGGGCTCCTTTGTACCAACTGAGCATCATGTCAACGCCACAGCCTATCTGAGTATTGTTGCTGACCATGTCCATCCCTTTATGACCACTGTAGGAGCCATGAGTAAGTCTGTGTTTTTGTTGCCAGGATAAAGAGCACATTGATTATTGTTGTTTTGATTGTGATCCTTTTTTGATGGACACATTTGATCGGGAGATAGCGGCTCCCGTAGATGGGCGGGGATTTAAGCTCACCTATTCACCACTTCACCTGTGCTTTTGTGAGGAGAAGAGGGAGAGTGGGTGAGCTGGGTCGCCGTATTTTTTGTTGACCGCTTTTTCACTTTTTCGCTATAATACTATTTTGATTGCTATTTTATTTTGATTACTTTTATTTTGAGCTTTTTTTCATACGAGTTATGATCCTGTTTTCATTTAATAAAAGGCTAAACTTATTTATAAGCATCTCCGTGAATTATTATTTAACCGCGCGTCAGACAAACAGACCCAGGCTCAGTCTCTCAGCGACACAAGAACTTGGATGTCGCTACAACCACAGAGTACCCATCTTCTGATGGCTACTTCCAGCAGGATAACGTGCCATGTCATGAAGCGCAAATCATCTCAGACTGGTTTCTTGAACATGACAATGAGTTTACTATACTCCAATGGCCTCCACAGTCACCAGATCTCAATTCAAAAGAGCACCTTTGGGATGTGGTGGAACGGGAGATTCGCATCATGGATGTGCAGCCAACAAATCTGCAGCAACTGCGTGTTGCTATCATGTCAATATGGAGCAAAATCTCTGAGGAATGTTTCCAGTACCTTGATGAATCTATGCCACGAAGGATTAAGGCAGTTCTGAAGGCAAAAGGGGGTCCAACCTGGGACTAGCAAGGTGTACCTAATAAAGTGGCCGGTGAGTGTATATATACAACTGCAGTTATAATTTTTGTTGATGTAGAAAGCTGTGTTAGCCAAATTTTCTAAGTGACATTACCTCATTCCTTCTTGTGACAACTGACTACAGCTGCTGACTTCTGAGCCAATTAAAATAGGGCCTACTGACACTCATTAGACCAAGCCACAAACACTACAAGGGGAAAGTGAGGAGCTAAGTACAGATCTGAAGAAGCAAATCACTGACTTGACCAAGTCAGGAAAGTCACTTTGAGATATTTCAAAGCAGATTCACCTTCCGAAATCATCTATGCAAACAGTTGTTTGTAAGTATAAACTGCATTACACAGTTTTATCATTGAATCAGGAAGAAAACACCAAGTATCACCTGCTGCTGAGGAATAAATGGTCAGGATGATCAAGAGTCAACCAAGAATCACCAAAAAGCAGAAGATCATGGGCTGAGAGGCTGCCATGCGAGAAGGAAGCCCTTTCTCCAAAAATAGCACCTTAAGGCTCGACTGAAGTTACTGCTGATCACATTGACAAAGAAAGTGCCTTCTGGAGGAAAATCTGTGGTCAGATGAATCAAAATTAAGCAATTTTCCCAAAATGAACAGAAATATTTTTGGAGGAGATAAGGTCAGGTCTTTAACCTACTGTTGAACATGGTGGTGGTAGTATTATGCTCTGGGGCTGTTTTGCTGACAGGGAAATGGGTGCTTTAAAAAAAATTGAATAATGAAAAAGGAAATCCTTAAGTTTGACTGTATCAATTCTGTGAAAAGGAGTGGTCAAAGATACAAATAAAAGCTTGCCAGAAGCTTGTGGGTGGCTATCAACAGTACCTAATTGAGGTGAAAATGGCCATAGGACATTTAACAAAATAATAGAAATGCTGTATGGATATTTTTGATTCAGCAGATTTTGTCTTATTTCCAGGAGACCTGTAATAAATCTAAGACATAATCAATATGCATAATTGTTTTGGGGTTTTTTTTGACAAAGATGCATGTGTTTCAGTCATTCCATCATAGAAAATGAAGAGTTGTAGGAGTTACTGGAACTCAAAACTGCCACAATGTACATTGTCTTTACAGTTGTATTTAAAAATTTGTTCACAACTGTAGCTAGAAGTGATTGCAAATGTATTTTCCGAATACATAATGGAATAGAATTAGAATAGAATTATTTTTATTGATCCCCCATTAGGGGAAATTTACACACCACAGCAGCATCTAAAAATATAGAAAGAAAGTAGAAGAAAATAACAATAATTAAGTAATAAAATACATATGTACACAAGATGACAAAAATAGCCTATTGAATGAAAAAGAAAACAAAAAAAAAACCAAGAGTTCAAGTCCAAAATGAGGTCATTTCATGAGAGTGAGTGAAACATGCAAAAACAAACACTGCTTCCATCTGGGATTGTTGCTGTTGACTAGCATCTGACTAGCTTAACTCCAGTTTTGAATAGGTCCAACTAAACCTTAGGTAGGAAGGGTTAAAACACAACTGTGTGCTAAACTAGATCTGACTGCTGTGCCACAGCAAGCATAGGTTCAGCTGAAACACAACTAAACTGACGCTAAACCTGGGGTTTAGCCCACCTACATTAACTGTGTGTCATAAAACATTATACTATGGAGCAACATGCAAAAGGAGACAGGAATCTGCCTTATAGAACCATCTTTTAAGGCAGAATCACAATCCATGTGCTGAATCACAATTCTCCCCACTGATCTAGTTGAATTCATGTGATCCCATCATTAGCCTGTCACTTCAACTCTGGGCTAATTACCCAACAATCCTGTTTTCACTCTAATGTTGTCCACTAATTTGAAGCCTGTAGGCTTTCCACTCTGTAAGACTAGTTAGGCAATCAGTATCGACCTATAAAGCTCCCATCAGAGAACACAGAATGACTAAATGACTCTGTGACTCTCAACTTTGTTACTAAGGAGAACCGAGACACTACCTAACATGATCCCAGATGGTTGTTAGCTGCTCAGATAAACATTAGTGCAACAGCTGCAACATTTATGGATAGACATAAGTCCAACTGCAGACTGATAGATGTAAGTAACTTGCTAGTTTTGAATGCAAAGCACCAGCTAACCCACACATAACAATAATAAGCTAAGCAAGAATAAAAGCATGAAATGCTCCATACTGTGCATTAGGTTAAATTAACCATCAAACTTATTAACGTATGGAGTGAAAGCAACTTTAACACTATCAACCAATTAATTGTCTGACTTCTGCATAGCCACTTAATTAATAAATTAAGGGATTAAAATGATAGACAGCACAGTATCAGGGACAGTTTTTATTAGCTTACGTCAATTTGAACAACTTTTGGATCTACATTCACATTCTCCAATAAGAATTCGTCTGAAAAACTCAACATGGTCACAGCTGTGTCAGTGTTTTGTGGGCATGTTTTACCTCCCAGGTTCCTCAGGGTGAATAAAGCTCTGAAGCGCTGGGTCAGGTCCTGTCCCGGGTCCACCAGAATCTGTCCTATTGCTGCCACCTGCTTCCCACTGGCCATACTGTGACAAAGAGGGACAGACAGCACTATGTACTACAATTCTTGATATAACGTGCAGCACCTTTCCCCAGCTATTACTACCCAACCTGTTTATTTTAGCTACCTCTTAATCACTTGCCAGTTTTAATATTCCAAACTGATGTGCTGAATGAAAATATTCAAATGTTCATAATATAAAATTTATTTAAAAAAAAAAAAATAAATCAAACAATTAAAAATTAGTTTTAATACATTCGTAGAGAAAAAAACAAAAACAAAATTGTCTTGCGTGTGTATTTTTATATACTGCTCAAAAAAATAAAGGGAACACCTAAACAACACAATGTAACTCCAAGTCAATTACACTTCTGCAAAATCAACCTGTCCAGTTAGGAAGCAACACTGATTGTGAATCAGTTTCACCTGCTGCTGTGTAAATGGAACAGACAACAGGTGGAAATGAGAGGCAATTAGCAAGACAACCCCTATAAAGGAGGGGATCTGTAAGTGGTGACCACAGACCACTTCTCTGTTCTCATTCTTTCTGGCTGATGTTTTGGTGACTTTTGCATTTAGTCAGTGCTCTCAGCCCTAGAGGTAGCATGAGGTGGTGTCTACAACCCACAGAAGTTGCTCAGGTAGTGCAGCTCATCCAGGATGGCCCATCAATGCGAGCTGTGGCAAGAAGGTTTACTGCGTCTCTCAGCACAGTGTCCAGAGCATGGAGGAGATACCAGGAGACAGGCCAGTGCACCAGGAGACGTGGAAGGGGCCATAGGAGGGCAACAACCCAGCAGCAGCACCGCTACCTCCTCCTTTGTGCAGGAGGACCAGGAGGAGCATTACCAGAACCCTGCAAAATGACCTCCAGCAGGCCCCTAATATGCAAGTTTCTGCTCAAACTGTCAGAAACAGACTCCATGAGGGTGGTATGAGGGCCGGACGTCCACAAGTGGGGCTTGTGCTTACAGCCCAACACCATGTAGGGCGACTGGCATTTGCCAGAGAACACCAAGATTGGCAGATTCACCATTGGCGTCCTGTGCTCTTCACGGATGAGAGCAGGTTCACACTGAGCACATGTGACAGAGTCTGGAGACACTGTGGAGAATGTTCTGCGATCTGCAACATCCTCCAGCATGACCAGTTTGGCAATGGGTCAGTAATAGTGTGGGGAGGCATTTCTTTGGAGGGCCGCACAGCCCTACATGGGCAAGCCAGAGGTACCGTGACTGCCATTAGGTACCGGGATGAGATCCTCAGACCCATTGTGAGACCATGTCTGGTGCAGTGGAGAGCTGGACCCGAATAGCCGACTATTCGTTTGCTGTGCTGGAATCGGGATATCAATTTTGATCTCCAATACCTGGAATAGATTTAGTTTCTGGTGGCAAAAACGTCTGCCCTTATGTGCTTTTCTTGTGTCTAGTCAGTTTAACATTGCTACCAATCAGCATAAACAACCTCAGCATAAAAGCATATTTATTGCTAAAGCCTACTATATTGGATGTCAAGTAAACAGGATTGTTGTAGCTAAAATGAACTGACCTTGTCTCTTCACGTAACAATACTGTGGCTCCGTAACTCTGCTGTCGCTCTCAGGCTGCAGGTTGACATGTAGCTCCTACAGTTTCTAAAGACAGAAAGTGGTTTCAGGTTTTTGATCTGACGTTGCTGACGTCAACAGTCCCAGTGTATTGTACTCTTGTGTTTTATTTGTCTGTTTTCTCTCTCTCCCAGTCTTTACCCTCAGGCCAGCCAGTCATGGCAGATGTCCACCCTCCCTGAGCCTGGTTCTGCTGGAGGTTTCTTTTTCTTTCTACTGCCCAGAAGGAGCTGCGGATGGGGAGTGATTTGGATTTGTTCAGTTGCTCTCTACAATTTTGTATTGGTCGTGACCTTACAATGTGTAATGCCTTAAAATGACATATGTTGTGAATTTGCCCAACCTTAATAAAACTAAATTAAATAATTATTTAATGTTAAAAGTCAGTAACTAGTCTCACTGCCATGATTCAAATAAGCCAAACCCATGACATATTAGAAACTTAAACTTATGTAATAAATTTAGGTAATTTTAGTCACATGCTGTTCGTGTTGTATTAAGTTTAGAGTGTTTCATGCCTTTCGTTGACCACACATTCTTACAGCTCTTCATACCGGGCTGCTGGCCACGTTTCAGGCCGCACGCTGTTGTTGCTGTAACTCTCCAGCTGGAGTTATGAAACACCAGCCTGGCTGCTGCTAGCAGTTAGCTCACTGAGTTAAACCGTATTTATCTCCAGCTAAACACTCACCACAGTTATACGGTAGAGAATTCACAAACACAACACAGGACGGTGGTGGCAGCTTACCTTCAGGACGAGAAGGTGACGATCCACACCGCTCCAGCTGGAATCCTCCATCGACAGAGCCCCGCTTCTTCTTCCCTGAGGTCTATCGGCGGTCAGCGAACAGTGACTGTAGGTGGTACCGCCATCTTCTGGTGTGGAGGAGAACCACTGTCTGGCGTTGACAACTTCGGTGAAACCATCCATTTTCTTTGCACCACATTATCCTCTGTATCCTCCATACCATACTGTACTGTATGGAGGATACGGAGGATATATCCATATATATGTATGGAAATCAAATCCCCTGATCTAAAGTACAACGGAGAGGGTAGAGGTTGGAAAATGTTGAACACATTCTAATATTCATGTGCTCCAAATACAAATAAAACTGCAAGCAGCGTTGGACAGGCCCTCACGTGTCCACGCGTGTCGGACACGACGCACATCAAGGTGCGGTGCACGTCGGGGTTGTGGTAGAAATGTGCTCTGGGCAAAGTGACAATCACCGAACCATATCCCTAACTGAATTTGAGGTTAATAAGGTCAACTGGCTAATAATAGCAAATACAAGTGTAAAATGTGTCCTTTCCCATTTCCAGATGGTGGCGCTGTGACTGTGAATGGATTATGGGGTGAGAATGTCATCAAGGCAGGACTCTCATCCAACATGTAAAGTCTGAGGGGCTAGAACTAAAAGACTAAGGACAGTTTCCACCTGAGAGCTTGACAGCTATCTCCCTCCTCCTGACAGACACACACATTGCCAAGGCTCTTCCAGATACAGACACCCCTACCATCACCCCACCACTGCTGACACACACACACACAGTCCTAACAGACAGCATACTAAGCACACAGGTGACCCACTACCTCACACAGCCTGGACACTGCACTGTGTTTACACCTTTTTAGAACGTTTATACTTGAGTATTTACAATGTTTATTTTCATATTTGAGTGCATTTGTGTTTACACTTTATTAAAAGTCTGTTTTTATGCCACTTTTCTTTTTTTGGGTGAAAGCCAGGACCTCCAACTGTAATTTTGTTGTGTGTACGGAGGCATATGCATAATGACAATAAAAGTATTCTGACTGTGATTGTGACTGAGGCAGAGTGCAGCATGCAGAGGGCAGGGAGACAGCACTTGCTCTTTCATGGTGAAGCATCAAAGTTCAGAGGACCTCCACAGACACGCCATTTGATGAAAATTCACAATTTTCAGTATGAGTCATCATCAACATCTAAAGGCTCACGACACCACATTTGAGGTTAATATGGTCAATCAGCTAAAAATAGCACATAAAAGTGAAAAACACGTACTTTCCTATTGCCACAGCAGGTGGTGCTATGACTATGAATGGATATTGGCATATGGGTTTCATCAGGGCAGGAGTGTGATCAAGTATTTAAAGTATTTAAAGAGCACGTACAGCAGGGGTATTCGATTAAATGTCACTGTGGTCCAGTCAATAAAATTTCCTCCAAGTAAAAGGTCCGAACCAAAGTCCAGTTTGTGCCTTATAGTCGTCCCCTATGGCCACATTTTCATGGTTTCAACAATACTTATTGTCAATTTTTTAATGCAGGGTATGTTTAACTGAGTGCACAGTTAGCTCTTTTACCATATATACAAGTAGTCCCAGGCAAAAAAAAATTGAGGCCTTTATTTTAGATTAGAGAAAACAAAAACCTCAGAATAAAATACATTTAAAAATGTGCAAACAGAACCAAATAACCCTGTTATCTCTTAAATTAAAGAGGTCTCAGCCTAAAGAACTGAAGGCCTCCATTTCAAGTAAAAAAGTCAACATCCTCAGAAAACAATAAATAAAAGATTACGTTTGCAAGTTGCTGGGCTGTAAATGTATGTGTGATAAGTTGGATAGATCTGTCATATTGGGCTTGCAGCTCGGTTTTGTGCGTGCCCTCAGCTTGGACTTCAGGGGATAACTTTGCTCAAAAGAGCTGTGCTTTGTTTCGTAGTTCATTGCTACTTTTAATTAATGCCACGTTTTCAGAGCATATGAGGCACACTGGTTGTGAACTGCCTGATTGAAGCATGAACATGCATTTCCCTGTCCACTCATCTTCAAAGCAGCTATTTTCCTGATCAGCCTTCCTTCTCTTGGAGCAAGCCATGCTGTCATCACTGTCTCTTCCTCTCTGCTCTGCTGTATAAGCAAGCGCAAAGTGGCAGCGACAGCAAGCTGTGGCAGACAAGACATGCTTCCTTTTTGATGGTGAATGATCAAATCAGAGGGCTGTCAAAGCCACACCCTTCAGTGAAATGAACACCTTTTGATAACTTTTTACCTTCAAGGTGTACTCTACACACTACCTGAATTTCAGCGCTCTGTGACTTACCCCCTAACAGAAGTTTGCTCAGGGTGGAGAAACGAAAAATTCAAATTGGCGGACTTTCTTTTGGGTTTAGGTAAATGGCTACCACTGGCTTTTTTGTGCGTCTACCAAATTTCATGGATGTAGGTGAAAGGTGCTTTCCGTGGTAGATGTTACAAATATACATAAAAGTGTAAAACATGTTCTTTCCTGTTGCCAGCAGGTGGTGCTATGACTGTGAATTTTATTTATTTATTTTCAGTTTTATGTTTTTATTTATTGCTACACAAAGCATCAGTCACTTTTGGAGTATTAATGGCACTACTTGGGGGTTTCACAGCTGCTCCTTTGCCATCTCAGTCATTTCACAAAGTTTACACATGACAAGCTTACTAAAAAAACAGACACTCTTTGCTGGTTAGTTCTGGAAAGCTAATTTGAAAGGTCAGCATCCTTCCGCGAGAAATGGTCTTAAAAAGACGGAAAGAATTTCAGCATTTCAATATTTTTTGGTACGTAAACTTAAGGGAAAGTGTGAGTATGCCTTTTCACACGCCACTCCTGCTTTCTCTTCTTTACAGAGGTCTTCGGGGGGAGTGGGAGCAGGGGTTTCATCAGGGGCTGCAAGGTGGAGCGGTGTTTATTATTATTATTATTATTATTATTAT